GTTTGGTTTGATTTGGATTACTGTAATGGTGGAATTGTAGGAAGTGTTAATAATAGTGATAATGATGAAGATGAAGATGAAAATTATGAAAATACAAAGGAGGATGTGTGTGGATGATTTTTTTATGTTTTGAGAGATTGAGATTTTTGACTTTATGATTTTGTTATTATCATTGATTTTGATTTTTTGTTATTGGATTTCAATGTAGCAATGATTTTTTGAGATTGGTAATGTATCTGATATAAAAATGATGTAAATGTTCATATTATTAATTAGTGTTAATATTCTCATTAATTTGAATTGAAAATTTGTCATTGTGTTGTCAATTGGTGTTAATATTATTCCCACACCAATATAATATTGAATGGTGAATATGTTTTCACTGTGTTCATTACCACTGTGACAAGCTGATGTTAAGGTTCACATCAGAATTGCATCAACTTATACAACCACAAGCCTCACCTTTCATTTTGAATACAAACATGATGTGAATATTCACACTAAACATACGAATGTAATGGTTCACATGAATTCTGGAATATAGATAAAGACACTATGATTTCAAAGTGTTAATTACTAATATGGAATGGTGATATTAAAGTTCACATCAAATTGCATTGCTCACAAATCACATTAAGCCAATGATTATGTATACACAATTGTGAAGCAGCTGGCAACAATGTAAAGGTTCACATTGATTTTTAATCTCTAAAAATATGACTACATCAACATTGTATTAACCACAAACCATCATTTTTGGTGTGTACACAAACATGAAGCATACCTTATGCACAATCAGATTATTGATTTGAATGTTAACATTACTAACAAAACATCAAATGAATTAATTTAGTCACACTAAGCCAATGGTTATGTGTACATAATTATAAAATAACATAAACCAATATGAATATTAACATTGACTTTCTAGTAGCAAATATTATGACAACAAACCATTGTATCTTATTAAGCACAATCAAAATAACTAATTATGGTTCTTTTGTCCAATGCATTTTAATATTTACAAAATCACAGAGGATGTGGAATTCATATTCATATTTTTCTCGCCGATGTAAAATGTGTCTTTGGATGCCTTGTACGTCTCTAGTACACATACGATGACATCATTAAACTTCATGTATTTGTCAAGGTCAACTTTACCTATCCTCAACACATTAAACAACTGCCAAAATGGCGTTTCCTTCAAACAATCCAGCTGAGGATCCGAGAACTTGGTGTTCATCATCAGTTTCACTAACTCAATGATGTTAGATCGATAGTTAACCTTTTTCATGTTCACTTTTCGAGGGGGGCTGGCTATTTGTTCAAGTTTGTCTTTGACGTATAACTGTTCTCTTTTTATTTTGCCATGAAATCTATGAGCAATATCTGTTTGTTCAATTAGAAACAAATTTACTGTTAATGGTCACAAATGGTAAATGATAACAAGTACAAACTATATGTACTGTGAATAATTGAATGATGTGACCGTGGTTGTATTGAGCAAAACCATAATGTGAATATTCACATGAACATAGTACAACATAGGATAAAATAATAAAAGTCAAATACATGGCATGAACATTCACATTAATCATATATCATGTCATTAGTTCATGTGTTTGAAAAATGAACAAAATTTTGGGAGTTCAAATCATTTGATCATAATCAACAACACCAACAAGGACAACAATCAAAAAATAGGAGGAAAATAACAGATGAAATCTGGAATAATATCATATTACAACTATTAAACTAACACGATGTATACATGATGTTAATGTTCACATCATTACATTATATATTTGACTGTGAATGTTCATAGTCAAATGTATAATGTGAATATTCACATGGACCGCATTTCATGCCACTTTTTATTTTTTATGAAAAATAATCAAAAATTAGGGATTCGAATTATTTGATCACCATCAACAATCAACAACATCAATAAGGCCAACATTCACAAAAGGGGAAAAAATGTTTTCAGAAGAGCACGAGCGACTAGTTGCTTTATTAAAAGATTTCAAAAAATGTTTTGCATGGTCCTACGAAGACATGTCTAGAATTGATCTTGAGATTGTATAGCATATGATCACTCTCGGCCTCAAGACTCACTTGTAACAACCCCGATCCATGTTTAACAGTTAAACCATGATTAAGGATGCTAATACGTAATTAAGATGGAATTCTGACTTAATTGCATATGTGCTGCATTATTTGTGTTTCTATCTTTCTATTGTAGAAATATCTGTTTGTATTTTTGGTTCTGTTCTGCGAATTGAAGGCCTTATCGGCATCTAATCATGAAATTGACTTAGTACACGTGTTATTTGGCATTTTTAGAAATTTATGATAGGTTTAATTAAAATTCAGTTCGGAACGATTAAATTAGAATAATTTAATGTCCAAGTGATTAGTTGATCAACATATTAATTAAGCCATTGGCTAAGCCTATATAAGGCTCCCATATGTGCCTTCACTTATTATTTTTCTTCATCTCAACACATTTGAGCTCACATACACAAGCAAAACGTGAGAGAGAGAGAGAGAGAGAGAGAGAGAGAGAGAGAGAGAGATAAGAGAAAATTGAGATCAAAAGCTAGGAAAATGGAGAATTGCTAAGAATTGTTAGAGACTTGCAAAGAATTTGGGAGTTAAAGCTTCTTCACTTGCACAATGTAGACTCTAGGTAAGAATTCAACCCTTAGATTGTATATTATGGATGCTTAAACCATGAATTCAAGAGAATTGAGAGGATTACACACACACACACACACACACACACACACACACACACACACACAAACTAAGCGAGAGTGGGAGAAATGAACTCAAACCATGCATGCATACATATTTCATAACATTTTAAAGTTGTTTTCCAAGGATTCCCTCATGTATGTTACTAATTCACCTTAGTTTTGAGAATTCATCAAGTTTCATGTCATTTCGTGTCATTAAATCATGTTTTGGAAGTCTTAAAGTCAAGGCAAAAACATACATGTTATGTTTTCTAAGAATTTTGATTTTGTTTTACACAATTGGCAAGTCTTTGGGCTTTGATTTTGTGAAATAATTTTGAATTTACCATGGTTTCACTATTTACAAGTGTTTCCTATAGTTTCCTCAAGTTTTTGACCCAAAAGACCATGTTTTACAACTTTGCATTTGAGTTTTGAGCTGAGAAGAGCAATCTGGAAATTCCAGAATTCTGCTCTCCGCTCGAGTGGCAGAACCTGCGCTCGAGTGACCACTCTGTGATCTTATACTTCTACTCGAGTGATCTGAAGTCTACTCGAGCATGAAATGCATGCTCCCGGAAGTTTCTGTGTTTTGCAGACCGCTTGAGCGGCAAAAGTTGCGCTAGAATGAGGGCATGGGTCTCACGCTCGAGCGAGAGTCGAGTGGCCATCGAGCAGAGATTTCATATAACCAGTATTTTTTCAAAGTTTACAGACCGCTCGAGCGAGGAAAGTTGCACTCGAGTGTCCCCTCACATGTTTGCATGTACGCTCGAGCGAAGGAAGTTGCGCTCGAGCGAGACCCCTATTTTTAGCAAGTTTTGTTAAAGATTCCAAAATGCCTTTTGGCATCCACATTGCATCCTAGGCATTCCTAGGCCATGATTAAGACTCAATAAGAGATTAAGACTTGGAAACACACTAAGAATGAAACGAAAGAAATTAAGTACGACCTGAGTGTATGCTTCAAAATGTGTTTCTATTATGTTTGTATAGGTCACGCGCCGTGAACGATTGACCCATTGGCTGCTATCAAAGTTATTTGAGCAATAATCAGTGAGTAATAACTCTGTAAAGTTATGTTTAACTTTAATTATTTTCTGATGATATGAAATGATCAGTTTTCTAAAATGCTATGTTTTATATGAGTGAATGATTGTCCAAGTTTCTGAAATGTATTCGTGGCATTCTTAGCATCATATGATATGCGTCCCTTTATGGGTCATCGGAATGCCTTTATGGTCGTCCCTTTATGGGTCATCAGAAACGTCTCTGTGCACATGAGTCATCAGAATGCCATTATGGCTATCCCTTTATGGGTCATCGAAATGCCTTAATAGCCGTCCCAAATATGGGTCATCAGATTTGTTAGCACTAATGGATGTACCACGTATGATCTAATCCAAAAATCTAAATATGAATATGAACATGTATATGAATTTATTTCTGTTTTGACATTTGATCATGTACAAGACTCTGTTTCTACATGGACATCATTCAGTAAAATCTTTACTCTGTTATTATTCACTAGGCTTCCACTCACTATTTATATTATGTATGTAGGTGATCAGGCACGTGACCATGCCCAGAGTTGACGACCTAAGATTCTCTTGTGTCAGCCAACCACCGTGCCTCCCGAGGAGGTTCCTTTTGAGACGTCCATGTCAAGGCTTTATTTTGTTTTGTTTTGTTTATCTATACTTGGGCTAAGTCCCCTTTTGACTTTATCTGTGTAAATGGGAGACATAAGACTTTTATATTTATGGCGTCACATGTATATAGATATAAGTTGTTTTGAAAATTTAATCTAATATGCATCAGCACAGCTCAATGGACTATGTAACTTTATATATTGCTTCCGTAGCCCCTAAATATATGTTATACCGTTAAGAGGCCTTTGGTAATCCAAGGATTACTGACCGGTTACGACGCTACACCTATAGGGGCGAGTTTGGGTCGTGACATAGTGGTATTAGAGCACACGTTATACCACACAAACGAGTCCATACGAGCTACAGGATGTCCTAGTGAGAATTAGGGACATTCCATCTGCATGTGTGAGTGTGTATTAATTTCTATGCATGAGAAAACTGTACCAGAACATAAACACATGAAATTGAAACGAATGAACTAGGAATGAATGTTTTGAACACTATGAAAACAATTATTTGCCTGTGTTTATTATTTTTTGTTTACCTATAGCTAATAGAGAATGCAAGAGGTAATGATGCAAGTGAATCCTCAGGGGCTTGTATGAGCCAAATGGAAGAAATGATTAGCGCTCTAACTGAAGCAATAGCACAACAACAAAGACAACAACTGATGCCTTCGATGCCTCCTCTGGTCCAAATTGAATTGGACAATAATGATATCATCAACTTAATGCAAAAATTCATGAAGATGAAACCACCAACTTTCTTGGGAGGTATAGAACCATTGAAAACGGAGACATGGTTGCTTAAAATAGAGAAGTTATTTGAAGTGTTTTCCTGTACTGAGACTCAAAAGGTCTTATTGATGACCTACACTCTTAAAGATGAAGCACGAAGATGGTGGTTATTGATCCGAAATAGTAATGGGAATATGATTTGGGCACAATTCAATGAAATCCTCTACAATAAGTACTTTCCCCAATGTTTTAGAGACCGAAAAGTTTCTGAATTCCAAGAACTTAAGCAAGGGAAAATGTCCGTAGCCGAGTATGAGGCTAAGTTCACTGAGTTGGCCAAATTTGCTCCTCACATCGTGGACACAGATTATAAGAAAGCACAAAAGTTTGAGGGAGGACTAGATCTTGAGTGGGCATCTTGAAATTGCCTACTTATGTGGAAGTGCTTGCTAGGGCATTGATGGCAGAGGACATACTAGCGGCAAAGAAACAAGCTATAACTCCAACAACTGAATGGAGAGGTAAAAGGATCAGATTCAATTTCAAGAAGGGTCGATCATTTTCAAAGAAGCAAAATACTAGATCGTCAAGTAGTAGATCTGCACCAACTTGTTCAGAATGTGGTAGGAAACACAAGGGGGTTTGTTATCGAGCATCAAGTGCCTGTTTCAGGTGTGACAAAACCGGCCATATGATGAAAGATTGTCCTATTAGGATCGAAAATACCAACCACCCCGCAACGAGTTCAGCCGGATCCGCTTCTGCATCAAGAATGAACACAAAAGCTAACACTGAGAAGGAAACCTTAAGGCAGGGTCGAGTATTTGCACTTGTGCCTGGTGATGTACAGAACACCGAATCTGTTGTGTCAGGTATAATTTCTATATGTGCTCAGAATGCCTATGTGCTGATTGATTCTGTTTCCACGCATTCATTTGTATCACATGCTTTTTCTCGAAAATTAACTAGACCGTTAGAACCTATGAACTATTTACTATCTGTGTCTACACCGACTGGGAGTTCTATGATATGTGCTTATGTTTATCCAGCATGTGATATCGTAATTGGTGAAATGACGTTGTATGTTGATTTGTTGCCCCTGAACATTGATCATTTTGATTGTCTTCTGGGTATGGATTGGTTGACTAAATACTGTGCCACCATTGACTGTACAAGTAAATATGTTATGTTTAAACCACCTGGCATGCCTGAGTTTGTTTTTACTGGAAATGGGGTAGTTCCTCCACCATACTTGATTTCATTTATGAAAGCCAGGATATTATTAAAAAAGGGTTGTTAGGGCTACTTGTGTTGTGTGTTGACAGAGTCTTCAGATGGTGTTAAAGTGGAAACAATACCCATAGTCTGTGAATTTCCTGATGTATTTCCTACTGACCTACCCGAGGACTTAATTAGTAGGGAAATTGAGTTTACTATTGATGTAGTACCTGGAACACAACCTATCTCCAAGACTCCTTATAGAATGTCCACTTCTGAACTGAAAGAATTAAAAACTCAACTCCAAGAACTACTAGACAAGAAGTTTATTCGTCCGAGCACTTCACATTAGGGTGCTCCAGTGTTATTTGTCAAAAAGAAAGACGGGTCCTTAAGGCTATGTATTGATTACCGTGAGTTGAATAAAGTAACTGTCAAGAACAAGTACCCACTACTTGAATAGATGACCTGTTTGATCAACTTCAAGACGCCCAAGTGTTTTCTAAAATTGACCTCAGATCCGGGTATCACCAGTTAAAGGTCAAGGCAGAAGACGTAGAGAAAACAGCATTCAGAACTAGATATGGGCATTATGAATTCCTAGTCATGCCATTTGGGGTAACCAATGCACCTGCAGCATTCATGGACTTAATGAATAGAGTGTTCAAATAATTCCTTGATGAGTTTATTATTGTGTTTATCGATGATATACTGATTTATTCCAAAAGCAGGGAAGAACATAAAAATCATCGGAGAATTGCCTCACAGATTCTGAGGGAAAAGAAATTGTATGCGAAATTGTCCAAATGTGAATTCTAGCTTAATAGTGTAGCATTTTTGGGGCATGTAATCAACAAGGATGGTATCTCTGTTGACCCACAAAAAATTGAAGCTATTGTGAACTGGCCTAGACCGGCAAACATGTCAGAAGTTAGAAGTTTTCTAGGACTTACAGGTTACTACAAAAGATTTGTGAAAGACTTTTCAAAATTTGCTATGTCATTGACCCAGTTGACCCAAAAAAATGTATAATTTGACTAGAACAATCAAAGAGAGTCAACCTTTCAAGAATTGAAGACTAGATTGGTTACTGCACCAATTCTAACCTTGCCTGACGGAACTAATGGGTTTCAAATTTACAGTGATGCATCCTACAAAGGTTTGGGTTGTGTACTTATGCAAAATGGGAAGGTAATTGCTTATGCTTCTCGGCAACTCTGTCCTCATGAAAAGAACTATCCGACTCACGACCTAGAACTAGCATCTGTGGTTTTTGCTTTAAAAATTTGGTGACATTATTTATACGGTGTGACTTGTGATGTGTACATTGATCATAAAAGTCTCAAATATTTCTTCACCCAAAAAGAACTGAATATGAGACAGAGACGATGGCTTGAATTAATCAAGGATTACGGCTTGCAGATCTTGTACCATCCGGGAAAAGCCAATACCGTTGCAGATTCTCTGAGCTGGAAATCCATGTGTAATTTGTTATGCTTACTCACCAGTCAAAAGGAGCTAATATGTGATCTAGAAAAGAACGGGATTGAAATTGTACTACGTAAACAAAGTGGGATCTTAGTTGCTATTTTTGCCCAACCTGCAATCATTGAAGAAATTAAAGAGAAACAACGTGAAAAATGAGTTTCTAAAGAAAATTGTTGGTGAGATGGACTCAAAACCAAGGCCCGGGTTTGTACTTGAGAACAATGTGTTGAAATTTCAGGGTCGATTTTGTGTATCAGATTGTTCTGATTTGAGAAAACGTGTTATGACTGAAGCTCATAATTCAAAATTTGCTATGCATCCCGGGAATACAAAGATGTACCATGACATGAAATAGAATTTCTGGTGGCCTGGAATGAAGAAAAGTGTTGCTGACTTTGTACCCAGATGTTTGTGCTTCCAACAAGTTAAAGCTGAACATCAACGACCCGCTGGATTACTTCAGTTGTTTCCAATACCGGAATGGAATTGAGAGCATATTACCATAGATTTTATTGTGGGGCTACCTCGCTATTCCCGAGGTATGGATTCTATTTGGGTCATTGTTGATCGTTTAACTAAATCCGCACATTTCTTACCTGTCAAATCTTTATATAATGTAGATAAGTTGGCTAACTTATATGTTAACGAGATTGTGAGATTACATGGTGTGCCAGTGTCTATTGTATCTGACAGAGATCCTAAGTTCACTTCAAGATTCTGGCAGAGTCTACAGCAAGCTCTAGGAACTAAATTGAGACTAAGCAGTGCTTATCACCCATAGACAGATGGCCAATCTGAACAGACCATTCAGACGTTGGAAGACTTGTTACGGATGTGTGCCCTAGACTTTCAAGGCAATTGGGAAACCTACTTACCATTAGCTAAGTTTGCGTATAACAACAGCCACCATTCGAGCATCGGTATGGCTTTGTCTAAAGCTTTATATGGTAGAAAGTGCCATTCTCCAATTTGCTGGACTAAGGTAGGTGATAGACCATTGTTGGGACTAGAACTTGTGCAAGAAACAAATGAGAAAGTGAAATTGATTCAACAACATCTGAAAACTGCACAAAGCCACCAAAAGCGTTATGCTGATATGCGAAGAAGAGACAGAGAATATGAAGTCGGGGATCACGTGTTTATCAAAGTAACTCTGATGAAGGGCCAAACGCGGTTTGGGGTGAAAGGCAAGTTAGCACCGAGATATGTTGGACCGTATGAGATCCTTGAGAAAATCAACCCGGTGACATATCGAGTGGCCTTACCTCCAGTGATGGAAAATATTCACAACGTTTTTCATGTTTCCATGCTTCGGGATTATCTACGAGACCCGTTACATGTCATTGAACCAACACATGTGCTTTTGAAAGATGATTACCCCTATGAGGAGAGGCCAATACAGATTATTAATCGTCGAATCAAAAGACTAAGGAACAAAGAAATCCCATTGCTGAAGGTTGATTGCCAAAACCATGGAGAGACTTATACAAGCTGGGAAACAAAGGAAGATATGATGAGGAGATACCTTGAATTGTTTATCCAGTATTCTTTCAAAATGAAGGTAATCCGAGTTTGGAGGACCAAACTTTTTAAGGGGGGAAGACTGTAACAACCCCGATCCATGTTTAATCATTAAACCATGATTAAGGATGCTAATACGTAATTAAGATGGAATTCTGACTTAATTGCATATATGTTGCATTATTTGTGTTTCTATCTGTCTATCGTAGAAATTTCTGTTTGTATTTTTGGTTCTGTTCTGCGAATTAAAGGCCTTATTGACATCTAATCATGAAATTGACTTAGTATACGTGTTATTTGGCATTTTTAGAAATTTATGGTAGGTTTAATTAAAATTCGGTTTGGAACGATTAAATTAGAATAATTTAATGTCCAAGTGATTAGTTAATCAACAAATTAATTAAGCCATAGGCCAAGACTATATAAGGCTCTCATATGTGCCTTCACTTATTCTTTTTCTTCATCTCAACACATTTGAGCTCACATACACAATCAAAACGTGGGAGAGAGAGAAAGATAGGAGAAAATTGAGATCAAAAGCTAGAAAAATGGAGAATTGCTAAGAATTGTTGGAGACTTACAAAGAATTTGGGAGTTGAAGCTTCTTCACTTGTACAATCTAGACTCCAGATAAGAATTCAACCCTTAGATTATATATTATGGATGCTTAAACCATGAATTCAAGAGAATTGAGAGGATTACACACACACACATACACACACACACACACAAAAAAAAACTAAGCTAGAGTTGGAGAAATGAACTCAAACCATGCATGCATGCATGCATATTTCATAACATTTTAAAGTTGTTTTCCAAGGATTCCCTCATGCATGTTACTAATTCACCTTAGTTTTGAGAATTCATCAAGTTTCATGTCATTTTGTGTCATTAAATCATGTTTTGGAAGTCTTGAAGTCAAGGCAAACCATGCATATTATGTTTTCTAAGAATTTGGATTTTGTTTTACACAATTGGCAAGTCTTTGGGCTTTGATTTCGTGAAATGATTTTGAATTTACCATGGTTTCACCATTTACAAGTGTTTTCTATAGTTTCCTCAAGTTTTTGGCCCAAAATACCATATTTTACAACTTTGCATTTGAGTTTTGAGCTGAGAAGAGCAATCTAGAAATTCCAGAATTCTGCTCTCCGCTCGAGCGGCAGAACCTGCGCTCGAGTGACCACTCTGTGAT